CTGGCCCAGTCACCCCCAACTGCCCTCCCCTGCCAGCCCAGTTGCCCCCGACTGCCCTCCCCTGCTGGCCTGATTGCTCCCACCTGCCCTCCCCTGCTGGCCTGGTTGCCCCCAACTGCCCTCCCCTGTCAGCCTGATCACCCCCAACTGCCCTCCCCTGCTGGCCTGATCGCCCACAACTGCCCTCCCCTGCCGGCCATCTTGTGGAGGCCATCTTGTGGCAGTCATCTTTGGATGACGTGAGGGCATCGTGTGAGGGCACGAGGACCACCTAGGCTTTTATTAGTATAGATAAGCCTTCATTCTATTTGTAGAAACAACTGCCTCCAGGCAATAGATTTAAACTTGCTTAGACAAATCAATCCTTTACAAAATAAGTTACAGTAGTCCCCCATTACCAGTGGTTTCGCTTTCCAGCTTCAGTTACCCTCAGTCAACCACAGTCCAAAAATATAAAATGGAAGATTCCAGAAGCAAACAACTCATGTTTTAAATTTTGCACCGTTCTGAGTAGTGTGATGAAACCACACACCATCCCATTCAGTCCTGCCTGGTATGTGAATCATCCTTGTCCAGTGTCCCCAAGCTGCATATGCTACTTGCCTGTTAGTCACTTAGCTGAATTATCAGATCAACTATCTCAGTATCATAGTGCTTGTGTTCAAGTCACCCTTATTTTACTTAATAATGGCCCCAAAGTGCAAGAGTACTGATGCTGGCAATTCAGATTTACCAAAGAGAAGCCATAAAGTGTTTCCTTTAAGTGAAAAGATAAATAAAGTACAAGATGATGTTTTGAGAGAGACAAACCACATCCAAATAACTTTTATTATAGTATACTAGAGGTCCAGTGCACAAAAATTTGTACACTCGGGGGTGTCCCTCAGCCCGGCCTGCACCCTCTCGCAGTCCTGGGGTCCTTGGGGGATGTCAGACTGACGGCTTAGGCCCACTCCCCACGGACATCCCTGTGGGAAGGCACTGACCACCAGGGGGCAGCTCCGGCCCCACCTCCCAATGCCCTGCTGCCAGTGGCCTCCCTCTGCGGGAGACGGCTGGCCCCAACCCCTCGATAGCCCCTCCACCGCTGTCCCCCCCATCACCGTCCCCTCCCTCTGCCCACTGGCACCCGCTTTGGATGGCTGGGGCCGCCCACTCACAGGCCCCGCCCCCCCGCCGACCAGTGGTTCTGCCGTTCAGTCGATTTGCACATTAGGCTTTTATTATATAGGATTGTTAAAATTGTTCTATTTTATTATAGATTATTATTGTTAATCTTTTGTGTCTAATTTATAGATTAAACTTTATCATAGGTATGTATGTACTGGAAAAAGTACATATAGGCTTCAGCACTATCTGCAGTTTCAGGAGGTCTTGGAACATATTGGTGGTGGGTAAGGGGGAACTACTATAATGATATTATGGGGGGGTCTTCCTAAAAGATCTGATCTGTGTTCAGGCTTTCCTGGCCCCAATCCACCATTTCTGACATCTGTCCCCTCTGATTTACTTACAAGTTTTATTTTACTATCCTAATCCCCAAAGCAACTCAGTTATTCAAAGATCATCCTGTCATGTTAACCTTCCTTTAAGTGAAATGCAATAATGTTGGCCTAAGTGATGGGTGCTCTTCCCTGTGATCCCTCAGTGAGAAACGATGGCTCTCCCTCTCCTCGCTGGTCGTGCCCATCACTTTGACCCTGCATCCAAGCTTCTAATACATATAGCTCCTATAAGCTCTCCAAGGATAGGGGCTGTTCCTTCTTCTCCACCATTCCCAGAATGGCACCTTACACCCAGTAAATGCTCAAAAAACAAACAAACAAACAAACACACAAAAAACAGATAGCCCTGGTCAGTGTGGCTCAGTTGGTTGAACTTTGCCCCATGCACTGAAGGTCGCTGGTTCAATTCCCAGTCAGGTTGCAGGTTTGTACGGGAGGCAACTGATCGATGTTTCTCTCTCTCCCTCTCTCTCTAAAAAAATTCAATAAAATCATCTTTTAAAAATTAAAAAGTAATAATAATAATAATATTACAAGAGACACAAATTAGCATGGACTTATTTATTTAAAATATTTCCTAATCATTCAAGTGCTGACTGTATAAATTATTTATGCTTTTTCCCTCTTCTTTGATGCCATCTCTAGTTATTACAGGGCTCCTAACTCTCCTTTCTAGAGAGTGAGCAGAAAAAATAAAAAGATTTCAATTTTAAAATGTCAATCAGTTCTGTTTCCTGTTAACATGCTTTTTATAATCTATTTATTGGTTATGAGATTTGACGCTACCATGAATAATTAGTTTTTGTAAAGTATTATGTAAAGGGGACATCTGTAATACTTTTAACAATAAAGACAAATTTTAAAAACATATTATGAATTATAATGTCTCCATAACTGAATGTTAGGAAATCTTATTACTCTGTATTTCAAAGGGATATTTTTACACAAATTGGTTATTTCCAAAGATAAGAATTATGTGAGTTCTGCTTACTTGTAATGTTCTGAACACCCCAAAATAAACTACAGTATTTGAATATAATGCCTGGTGAGCAATGCTCATGGAATGATATTATCAATCACAAATTAAGGTATAAATAGCATAGCCCCACATTCTCAATAGCTGGTTCTGTGATAAGCAAATACTTTCATCATTTCATTTGTATTAAATCTAACAATGCATAAAGGTATCCAGTACCTCCCCAAACCTCCAATCTCACCTCATCTCCAAGACTTCTTGTCGGGTTTCTTCGTATTTTTTCTTCCATTCATTTGCTTCAATCTCTTTAGTGATTATCTAGATTATAATAGAGAGAAAGCTTGGTTTTACCTACTCAATCTATTACAGCTTGAATTTAAGATTGGAGACTTGAAACAACAGTTCCTCCCAAGTCATTCACTTACGTTAGGAATGTAAAACCTCATCATCCATCTAATGCTCATAAGCATTTAGAAAAATACTCTTAGCCACATGGGATGCTGGAAACGTAGCCACCAGAGTAAAGGTGAATAGAACATCTCCTAGGAAAATTCCAATTGGTAACTAAGTTCTCTGTAAATTCAACCTCAGGCCAGGGTCCGGCTCTCGCTCTGTAGGCCTAGAACACAGATTGGGACAAGACACCCAGAGCAGAGCGTCATCTGACAGAGAGTCGCCTTAACCCAAGGAGACACCAGTGCACCAATCTTAGTTAGGATGAGAAACGAAACTGCCACAAAGTCAGAGCATTAGAAGTTGGCACGACCAGCATATTCTCTTTCTGCAGAGATTTCTGATTGCTTGATAAAAATAGACTCAGAAAGAGAGAGTCAGAAGTTCAATGCCTCCAGCCAGTGCATCCATCTCACCATAGGCTGTGCAGAACCCATGGGATGCCCATGCTAAATGGAAAAGAAATTATCTAAATTCACTGCCTGAAACTCCATTTGCTTTGCACAGGGCTTGGATGGGCACACCTTGTTCTCTTTTTATTTACTTCTCTGTGCTTCTCTCTTTCTAATTGGTACATTTTTACTTTGGTGCCTTTAATCAGGATACTAGAAGCCAGCTTATCTGCTTTGGTGACTAAACACATCTTTCCATCTTTCCTGTGATCCATGAGGGGGACATCTCATAGTTTAACTCTCAGGAGGAAGTGAAGTCATTTTTCTCATTTACGAGTGGGGGGTGCTCCTCACCACTGCACCCAAGCTGACAACAGGATTAGTTGACATCTCTCATTACCAACCTAATGCTATTTTTTAAAATATATATTTTTATTGATTTCAGAAAGAAAGGGAGGGAGATAGAAACATCAATGATGAGAGAGAATCATTGATTGGTGGCCTCCTACACGCCCCCTACTGGGGATCAAGCCCACAACCCGGGCATGTGCCCTTGGCTGGAATCAAACCTGGGACCCTTCAGTCCACAGGTCAATCAGTGCTCTATCCACTGAGCCAAACCAGCTAGGTCCTTAATGCCATTTTTTAGAAGTCCAATGCGCTATCCATTGCGCAACGGAGCCACCTAAATTAATGCCATTTTTTAAAGCTTTAAGAGACATGTATCACAGGTACTTAACTACTTTCATCACATTATAAAAATAAAATTGCTCCACCTGCTTTAAAATAGGGTGGAGTCATCAAGTAATACACAAGCCAAGTACATAAATATAGCACAGAAATATAACAGGAGAGGGTGATAACTGATTACTAGTATATAACAATGTCTTTCATATTTTTTCAGATCATCCAAGGCCTAGCAGTGACCTATTTTTGAACAGAGGCTGCTCAAGAAACATGATAAAGGTATTTGAGAGTTAAATTAAAGAATGGATGAAGGTAGGAAACAATTGTATATTAGTGCAAGTCTAGAATTTAAGGAATTTTTATGTACGAGCATACTACATACTAATATGCTCTGTAAAATGAAGGCACTAATTTACAAACTCATGTGGATAAAGTTAGCAAATTTTGATATTTAAAATTTCAAGGCTAAAAGATAAACAGGACACCACAATGTCAGGACCCCAGCACCAACGTGGCGTTTTACAGGGAGCCCTTTATCTGAGCTAGACAAGCTGCAGGAAACACGAACTTCCAACGGGGATAACGGAGGCCAGCAGAGATGGAATCTGCCCGCTGCACATGGCTTCACAAAGAATGGAGCGATAAGTGGGTGGAACAAGAAAGCATTTACCTCTTCTCTTATCAGGGTGAGCACGGCTGTCTTATCTGATTCACTGAGGCAGATGCCATCCAGGGGGCTCTCTCCGCCACAGGCCACGGACAAAGATAGTCATTGGCGAGATGGGGGGGGGGGGGGGGGGGGGGGAGGAGGGGAGGAAGAGGTTACATTTAATACGTTTAATCTTCAGCTTCTTAATCCCAAGCATCTTTCAATAATTTCCTCATTGCTACATTGATCACAATCTTTAAAGACATGTTTAGAGTAAAAAAACACACACAATGAAAACCCAGCAGGGTTTTTTAAAAATCAAGTCTAGCTACAGTGCTATCTAAAGGAAAAACTTGTTCTAATGCAGCCGTGGGCAAACTACGGCCCGCGGGCCGGATCCGGCCCGTTTGAAATGAATAAAACTAAAAAAAAAAAAAAGACCGTACCCTTTTATGTAATGATGTTTACTTTGAATTTATATTAGTTCACACAAACACTCCATCCATGCTTTTGTTCCAGCCCTCCGGTCCAGTTTAAGAACCCATTGTGGCCCTCGAGTCAAAAAGTTTGCCCACCCCTGTTCTAATGATTATCAGGGTGTCTTGCTTGTCTAACAGATAGCCTAGAGAAGTTTTCTTCTTATCCCCCAAAAGGAAGTGTACTTATCATAGTGGTCAGCCACCAAAGAATTACATGCAAAAAACAGAACACTACCTGGTTCATGGCTCATCTTTCAAGGGGTTTCTGGGGATGATGTGTTCTATGTAAATACATTTCCCAAAGAAAGTCAACTTTTTTTTTTTTTACATGTTGATGCTTTGTGTGTCTATATGTAGTCACTTTGGATGGAAATATTTCTAAAATTTTTTTTACTAAGTTTCAGGCCTAGGAAGGCAGAAATGGTGAATGTGCCTGACCCCACCCAGCCCGGGCGATTCAGGATCACCAGAAAGTCCTTGCTCTGCAGTGATGTGCCACAGCCCAGTGATGCCGTCAGGTGTGCACCATTACTTGTTCCTGACAACGTGCCCACGCTCCCATTTTTGGTTCTTCCTTGCTATTGTTTCAGTCCTGTCTGGCAGCACTGCACTTTCTAATACACCAGCTTGTTTTTATCATAAACTCGGGTTCTAGAGAGCCACATATGGTTAATATTTTATTTTTCACAAGAATATAGGTTCTGTACTATCTTCCTTCCTAGAAAGCATTTTTGGTGCTATTTGCCCCTTACCTATACAAGTAAGCTTTTTGTATAAATGGGGGGAAAAGTTCATCAAGTAACATCCGAAATGCCAAAGTGACCTAGGAAAAATCTTGAATGTCAGTATAACTCATCAATTAATTATTGCTCATAATCAATCAGCTCTCTGGTATTTTGTTTGAACCAGAACTGAACATAAAATCCAAGGTTCACTTAGACCAGTGGTTTTTAAACTTGCCAGGGTCATTATAGACTCATCCTTTCTCTAAAAAATACTCAAAAATACACAATTGTGCAGACAGCTTCACAGACCTCATCCAGTATAGAAACTCTGGGCTTAGGCCACAGAAAAGGGAAATGCAAAGCCACGGGCTGGCTGTGCCCATCTGCAGCAGCATTTGGGGGAGGGTGGACCACATGCTGATGGAAGTCCAAAACTCCTCAGAAACACTATCTTGGGACAGACCTATCACTAGAGCCAAAAGTCACTTGTGGCGGGAAGCCTCTAAAATGGCTCCCATGACCCCACCTCCTGGTACCAATCCTCTCGGGCAGTCTCTTCCTTGGAGCAGGATAGACCTAAGGACTCACTCGTAAAGGACACAATATGGTAAAAGTCATGGCATGTCACTTTGTTTACAGAAAGACCCAGCTTTCACGCAGTGAGAAGCTCCATGGGGAGGTCCATGTGGCAAGGAACTGATGGCTCTGTCAACAGCCAGTGAGGACCCGAGATGGGCCCACAGCCACATGAGTGAGCCTGGAGGTGACCGCAGCCCTGGTCTACACCTTGACTGCAGCCCATGAGACTCGGACTCATCCCAGGGTTCCTGATCCAAAAATGATGGCGTAATACATGTTTGCTGTGGACAACTGCTACACCCTGGACATGTGATCATTCTATTACTTCCTGTGCCATGTCTATCATCAAGAGGCTTTCCCGTAGTCTTGCTTCCCATGTAATTGCCTATAGGGAGATAATGTACTAAGTTAGACAAACACATTTGGTTCGCCTTGTTACATTTCCGATTCTAAATTAATACCTTTTAAAGTCTGTCTTTTGTGAGTGTTTATTACTCTAAGCCAGAATCCCCATCTCTAGGAACTAACTTCCCTGTGCTTCCCATGACCCTTGTGTTATCAAGGATGTGACCATTCTATTAACTTGGTTTTCTTAGTAAGGAAAATATCAGTATCTATTCTAGAGTTCTTTAAGTCGTTTTGTTTTTCATCAGCACAGCTTCAGCTTTCCTGCCACCTGCCACACAGCCGGTGAGCCCCGGCTCCCACAGCCCCGAGGACCACATTCTAGTATAACTTCACCACAGGTGTGGTCCGTTTCCATTCTGTACCTGTTGCCAGTGCTGTTCAAAATAAATATAATGCAAGCCATATGCAATTTAAAAATTCTCAGCAGCCACATTGAAAAAAGTAAAAAGAAACAGGTGAGACTCATTTTAATAACATAGTTTAGTTAGCCCAAAATATTATCATCTCAACATGTAATCAATATAAAGTTAGAGACATTTTACCTCCCTTCGTTTTATGCAAGTCATCAAACACTGGTTGTATTTTACACTTAGACTAGCTACATCAAGTGCTCAGCTGCACATGCACTAGGGGCTGCTGTCCGGGAATCTCGGGATAGAGTGTGAGCCCCTCAAGTGAAGAAGCTGTGTTTTATTTATATTTCATCCCCATCACCAAACAATGGCCATAATTTATTTAAAGATTTAACACGAGCTTCGAAACAAATGCTGGAAAAACCTGAGCTCCACTTAACTCCCCCCTCACCCGCCAAGTTTAGGAACTTACAGGCACGGCAGATCCATCTTTCTCCATTTTCTGGCATGTCTCTTTTTCTACGCCTAAAACACAGAGTCATTTTTGTAGTTAACCCAAGCAGCTGGTTCCTCCCCTTCCTAGTGAAAGGCACTGGGAAACCCCCAGCGCAGGCCCAGAATGACATCTACAACACACGAACGCACCCCAAGTTCTCACAGGGGCGCTGGCTTTCTATTGATCACTGTGTTGTCCATGTTAAAAGTCCAAGATATTTAGAAGAAAGAGGAGTGCGGAGTTAGTCAGTCATAAATGAATCCACAATCTTCAGGTGCAAAGAACAGCAAGTCTGTCCTTTGTGCCCATGTGCTAACCATGGGATTATTTCAGTGAGAGGAAACACTGAATGCTGTTTTATTACCAAAGTCTTAAACTCCAGCCCAAAAGGGTACCCTCAATCTAAGTAGTGTAGCAGTAGCAGATAAAACAATAAGCTCCAAATTGCAATGCCCACAAAACTAAATTCATTTTGTACCTCCCACTCTACCACCAGAGACATTTTAAAAAACCTAACACTAGATGTTTTCTAATTAAAGGAATATGCTCTCACTGAAGACAATTTTTTTTAAATTGTTATTTAGAGAGAGGAAAGGAGAGGGAGAGGGAGAGGGAGAGGGAGAGAGAGAGAGAGAGAGAGAGACCGAGACCAACGTGAGAGTGAAACATCCTATACACCCTGCACTAGAAATAGAGCCTGCAACCTGGGCATGTACCCTGACCGGGAATCAAACTGGCAACTCTTCAGTGCACGGGATAATGCCCAACCAACTGAGCCACAATGACCAGGACTGAAGACAATTTTAAAATATTTTAAAATTTTATAAGACTACAACCTCCCACAAAGCAATAACAAATTATTATTTTAGCAAATTCTGTCTATAATGAATTATTTTTAAAACACAAATGTGACTATTCTGCTTAAAAACCTTCAATGGCCCTGGCTGGTTTGGCTCATGGATAGAGTGTCGGCCTGCAGACTGAAGGGTCCTGGGTTCCATTCCGGTCAAGGGCCCATGCCCAGGTTGCGGGCTCGATCCCCAGTAGGGGGCGTGCAGGAGGCAGTCAATCAATGATTTTCTCTCATCATTGATGTTTCTCTCTCTCCTTCACCCTTCCTCTCTATTAATAAAAATGTATTTAAAAAAAGAAAAAAGAAAAAACCTTCAATGGCTCCCCTCCACCTACAGAAGCAAGCCCCAAATCCTCAGTACCACTTCATTTTCCCACTTACCCTGTCCTCACAGAGCTACTGGGCATTTTACCCACATGGCAGGTTCCTTCCCAACCCTGAGAGAGACGCTTGTTCTCTGGTGCACATCTATGTCTGTATCTATCAACACCAAGCTCCAAGGTGACTTTCCCCAGTAAATGTTCTCTGATTCACCTGACAGGGTCAGTACACCCGTCCACCTCACACTCCCACCCGCATGACCTCTGCTTCTCCCTTGATATGGATAATCAGTTACACACAGTGACATACTACCTACCCACTAAGAGGACAGCACTGTATCTAACAGAACCCCAGCTCTACAAATTTCTGTTGCAGGAATTTCCTCCGAATGAGGAAGAATATCATTCAACAAATATCTACTTCAGTTACACACAGTGACATACTACCTACCCACTAAGAGGACAGCACTGTATCTAACAGAACCCCAGCTCTACAAATTTGTTGCAGGAATTTCCTCTGAGTGAGGAAGAATATAATTCAACAAATATCTACTATGCACCTGCAGCCGAGGAAATTCAAAGATGAATCACTCATAGTCCTTAACCTTGAGAAGCTTATCAAAGATCCCTTCTATAATGAATACACAAAACGCGAACGGTAAGAAGAAATGTGCTGGGAGCATAAAGCATGGTGGGAGCCAAGTGATGTTTTTGAAATAGACCCAAAATGATGGGCAGAATTTCTATAGGAGATGGCAAAGAAAGATATTTCAAATAAGAGAAATAAGTGTAGCCCACCTAACTGAGTAAGGTGGTATAAAGGGAAATGGCAAATGAAGTCTTGGGAAAGAAGTCAGAGCAGAAAGAGGCCTGGGAAGAAATCTGGAATAGTGCCTGGCATGTTTATTTTATAGATGAAAAACTGAGACCTGGGGGCAGGGAGGAGGCTGGAAGAATAATAAAGTCCTGATTTCCACCCGCTTCCCTCGTTTGATGAGAGATCATGATTTCTTAAATTCTAGGTATAAAAACACCAAATTAAATTATGTTGATTTTTTTAATAATGTTTAATATAGTCAGGAACATGGTTCTAAACATTTCACAAGTCAAGTTTAGGGTCACAGATACAACTTGGGACCTGGAAGGAGGGCCTCCGCTCTACAATGTTCTGAGAGTCCAACAGCAAGAAGGTTAGCAAGAAAGTTAGTCTATCTAGGTTCTTATTTGGACATTAAGAAGGATTTTATAGGGCATCGATCAATTTCAGTCTACCACATCTGTGAGCAGGGCAATTTATAATGGTCTAGTGCAGGGGTGGGCAATCCTGGCACGCGTGCCAAACATGGCACGCCAGTAACTTTTGCTGGCACGCCAAACCCTCTCTTATAATCTTCCATTTACAATTGTGAATCTTTGTTCTCAGTGATGAATTTTGTTAAGTCTCGTAATAGGAGTAGCCTGACGGATGAAAGTAGTAGCTCGTGCATATCTCTGAAGGTCACGAAATATAAACCTGATGTAAAATCTCTGTCATCAGTGATGCAGCAGCAAAAGTCCCACTGATAATATCAAACGGAGTCATAAAGTTTTCTGTCGGACTATCAGTGTACATATATACGTTAAAAAATGAATGTATTTTTCATCATCATATACTGTGTTTTTGTCGCTCGAATGAATTTTATTATTTCTCCAAGGTTCTTCACATATGTACACCTTAAGAGATATCAAGTAGGCGTAACATGTTCTCAAAAAATTAAGGTTGGCACGCAGAAGAATTCTGAGTCAGAGATTTTGCTGGTTTTGGCACGCACTCACAAAAAGGTTGCCCACCCCTGGTCTAGTGTAATGAAAACAAGCTCTTTGTACTTTAGCTTTGAGATTAAAAGACCATGGAACCTACTGCTAAAGTCTGAATCCTAGTTCTACCATTTACTAGCCATTTACAAGTGACCTGGGCCAAGTTACTTAACTTCTGTGTCTCACTTTCCTTCTCTGAAAAATGGGGAAAAAATAATACGTAGCAAAGAGTAGTGAGTTAATACATGGAAAGCACTTAGAGCAATGCCTGCACATGGTAAGGAATTACACGTTATTTCTGTAAGTTGAACAAGGAGCACAATAATCACATCATGGTTACAGGCCACTATACTTTGAGGTGTGGCCACATTAAAATAAATTATAAAAAATTATTATAATTTTATAATAAATTATTAAAAAATTTCAAGCAGTCCCACACATTAGTGCCTCCAGTACATCCTGCCACACTAATCCATATGTCCCTGGTATTTGATAAGACACCCTTTTCGTGTCTCTTTTCTAGGTGAAGAAGCAAAGCTTAGATCAGAATCCAAATTCTCTAAGGCGTCTCAGCTTTAGGCTTTCAGGCATTTCTATGCTATGTACATTAGAAAGATGAATATATACTTCCATACCTGCTTCTGAGGATGAAAACGCATGATTTATGGTAGACACGGGAACATTGGAACATTCAAAGTACTCCAGGTCTTCCTCTGGCTCACCTTTCACCTCGGCCCCGGCTGATTTCTGACCAGATGAAGTGGATGCCAGTTTCTCCTCATCGGTAGCGTGGCCGTCCCTATTAGAAATGTCTGAACTCTGGGAGATCACTGCTCCTTCATCCTTGGAAAGGCAACAGAGAAGATGCTACCATTAGGTAGGGAAAGGGATATCTCACAGCACCCACTATTTGCTTAGAGTTAACCACAGATCTGAGTACAGATGAAGGAAGAAGCTGGAGTCCTTCAATCACAGAATGTTGCCTTTTTCTAGCACCTAGCTTTTCTGCTTCAAATCTGAGGTTTGACAAATTAACCTTCTCTAGCCTAAATTTATGAGAAAGAAGTTTAAGTGGTTCAAGGCAGTGGTTTCAAATATTCTGCTCATAAACCTCCTAAATTAAACCCCCCAAAATCTATGTACCCCACTGTATTCCCAAGTGCCATCTAAAATCTGTTCAGCGTCAGTTTAAATAATTTCGAAGGATATAATAGCTAATATAGTTTAAATACTACCATGCTTAATTCAATGTAATTATTCTAATGATTTGGCATCCTACAATGTATTTAAAATTGGACACGAACAACCTCTTTAATAGTCAGAAATGTACATCATTCCTTTTCCTCTCTGAACCTACACTTCCCAGTCTACTTCACTTCCATCAACTCAGGTTCTATTTGGTTGAAAGTGATGAGTTGGAAAATCATCTGACTTTAAAAAAACATTATCCGCTCACTGGAATCAATCACCTCCTTAAAAACCTACATCAATATTTCAATCTCCCCTTTGTTTGGTGCCCCAGAGATTTCACACCCAGTGGTGATTTGAAATGGGTGAGAGGGAACCATAAAATAATGGGAAAAGGGGAATTTTGAAAGGGTTTCCTTGTCCTGAGAGGCCTTTTCAGATCAGTTTAAGATGCTGGTTCTCTTAAATCTGAATATTCCAATACCCAGTGGGAAGTCTCCATTAACCACCATGACCCACCCTGGGGGAGGGGGGGATACATTCGTAGTTTGAGGACCACTGGTCTAAGAGATGTTCTGGTGATAGACAGACTTACCTGTGAACACCCATCCAAAGCAAGAGACTGCGTTTCATATTTCTTCACCTTACAGCCACTCCTGAAAGAAAAACAAATTAACCAAGCTGGTTGGGAATCTCACTGACAACTTCCGAGCTATGAGATGGAGCAGAGAGAGCAGTGTGTGCAGATAGAAGCCAAGGCATACAGCACCTCACAAGTCGTACATCTACATGTCAGAGATGGGAGCAGCTTTTACATCTCTGAATCTTCTCTGGAGAGACGGGGCAAGCAAAGAACTACAGTCAATTCATTCTCTGAAAAGACCTCCTCAAGAGGAGGAGTTTTTCATTACATACCACCACAGCCTTTGAGAGAGCAGCCTTAGCAGAGACATTCAGTTCATCTGATCCTCACTCACTTGGGCTTTGGCATTCATTAGAAAAATTACCACACTGGACTAGATTCTTTAAAAATCCTTTATTGCACTAAAAGCCATAGAAGTCTAATGAGACAACTCCAGACATGTGTGCTAACAAAGTAGAACTGGGGTTAACAGAAAGTATAAAAAGGAAAATATCTGTGTAAACTATTACCATTCCTATTAAGTAGTAAGATGGAAAGAACATTATGGCTGGAACCAGGGAAAACTCAAACCAACAGTTATTTAAACTAGCGCATAATTTGCGATCCAAAGACTAGTTCAAATTCTTTTGTTTGAATGAACTTAAAATTTCCAATAATGCTACTCTGACAAAAAAATAATAATAATAATTTGCAACTTTTTTTTCTTGTGTGGGGAAACAAACAAAAAAAGGCAAGCGTATACGTTACCAAAACGTGCACAACCACTACCTGGCTCATGATTTTCTTTCCTAATGCTTGAGTGCCACCCCTTGCCACCAAACTCAAGTTGGTCCACAAGAATTCCAATCATAGTATGATGTCTCCATTTTATCCCCTGCTCCAACCCAGCAGCCTATCCTATCAAGAAAGCCAATTATTTCCAACATTAAATAGCAGAGCAGTGCCTGAAACCCCTGCCAGATGATCTTTGGGGCCAAGCCAGCATTCGGTATCAAAGCGCCACACCGGCGTGCCAAGGCAGGGAGCGCAAGCTCACGCACCTAAGGTTGGAAGGCCGATCGCCACTCCTTCGGGTACAGACAATCACAAGGCTAAGCTGACTCATGAAGTGGCAAATGAAATGCAAAAAATAATCAGAAGGTCAAACTCAGAACCGGAAGCCAACATGCTATGGAGAGGTGGTCTGGGAGGAGGGTAGAGGAACTGCCAACAGTCCCAGGGACAAACAGAAACCACAGCAGGGGTACTTACAACAGAAAACAGAGAAATTTCACTTGTTCAGTAGTCCTGAGGCACCAACAAAATGAGAAACAGGAAAGAGACAGACAGATGGAGAAAAAAATCATGTAAAGCCGGAATATTTATCTCTAGTCCGGTAGATGTAAAGGCTGCAAAGTTCTTTCTATGAGGTGAGATACAAATTTAAAATGTCATATTTATTAATGTTATCACTGGTGAGTGAATGATTGTCAGGAACCTCATCTGTAATGAGTAAGAGTGATAGAAGCAGTCAGAAATGCCACATATTCAAGCTTATAGATGAAAAAGTAAGCATTTCACTGCTGAACACATTTACTCTTAAATGTCTAGTCAGCTAAGGCAATGCATGAATAAAAATAAAGTTGAAGATGCATCTGCTTCTATCTGCTGTAGGTGTGTGTCACTAGACACCTTAAATGATTTTTCATACTTTATTTGGTCCACAAAAATCCTCATCATAGGATGATGTCTCCATTTCATAGAAGAATCTGAGACACCAATTACATACATCTTTTAAAAAGTCACACAAGTACCCTGCTAACAAAACTTCTAACTCTCCACTAGATTCTACCACCACAAGTATATTTTCAGTCTTTCCTACCAATAGGGTTTTGCTAAACAAAATTCCAGTTACACAAAGGTCAAGCACCCTTCTCAGAGGCAAGAGTTTTGATTGCATAGAATTTTTTTTAAATCTGTAAGGTATATTATTAGATCAAGAAGTCCATTCACCAAAAACAGAATAGGAGGACAATGCTACCAGGTGAGGATGGTAGGACTCAAGAGAGGGTGCTTCTTGCTACGGAAAATAAAGTGTAGGATCAATTTCCCTCCCTTTGATCTAATCTCATCTAACATGAATGCAATGGCTACATGCCTTCAACATGTGTCGGAAGGAAGGCTCCCAAATGAAATGACTTATCAACCTTGCTGGGCAGAGACACCCTATATATAGGATATCCCATATCAGGAAGCACCAAGGCAATGAGCTGGCCAACACATACCCCAAGCACTGTCTCGATAACAGTAACTAACCTTAGACACAAAAGAGCACTTTGAGGACACCTGATCAATCATCTTTTTCAGCAACCATTTAACTGCTCATATATAATCAGAGAACAGATCAACAAGTATTACTGACATCTTATTCCCCTAGATCAGTGGTTCTCAACCTTCCTAATGCCGTGACCCTTTAATACAGTTCCTCATGTTGTGGTGACCCCCAACCATAAAATTATTTTCGTTGCCACTTCATAACTGTAATTTTGCTACTGTTATGAATCGTAATGTAAATATCTGATATGCAGGATGTATTTTCATTGTTACAAATTGAACATAATTAAACCATAGTGATTAATCACAAAAACAATATGTAATTATATATGTGTTTTCTGATGGTCTTAGGCGACCCCTGTGAAAGGGTTGTTCGACCTCCAAAGGGGTCGCGACCCACAGGTTGAGAACCGCTGCCCTAGATATTCTGAAGTTGTGGAAGAACTGATTCCTACATTGCTCGAGCTTCTTGGTCCGGATTGATACTTTCTGCTCTTTAAACCTTTCCCTTTAGTATAATACACCACACCATCCAGCATTTTTCTTGAAGTCATAGTAATACTAAAAATTTCTTCCCTAATGATCTATGGTGACAATTAAAAACATGATATTTCTTCTCAACTTTCTTTTTCATACTTCATCTTCTATGTCATTGATCTCTCTTATATTCAATTTTTAGCAAAATGCCACAGTGTCACAAAGGGTATATTGTCACCACTTAGTTTTGTGATAAGGGAACCCTATAACAAATTTAACCTGAAACTTGACATGGACTGTGGCCTGAGGTCATCACTCTGAAAACTTCAAGGAGCTTGCAAAAGTGGCTCTAGATTTCCCAGGGCAGGGGGTAGGGTAGGGGTAGTGTCACAACACACAACAAAAGTCTAGTCAGATTTCTGTCATTGTTTAAAATATTCCTGATTCTTATTGGAAATTCACTTCCTTGATGATGGAACCACAAGCTAACGATAAAGACATAAGAATTCTCCCCAACTTTCAGTGGTTTGTTTTCCAACAAAAATCACAGCTTTCTGTTTTAAGTGAAAAACTTCTATAAGACCCTTTTGGACCATTTTCTACAAGTTCTTGACACTAGACAGTTAATCTGTAGGCTTGGAATTTTTGTTTTATCCATAGAGAATCTGAAGATGGTGGCTAGCATATCACTTGAATTCTGTAAGTAAAGCGATTCCTGACAGCCCAGATAGGATTTTTGAAAGCCATCAAATCTCTACCTGCCCATCTTGTTAAACAGGACAAAAGTACCAAAAGTGGGGGTGGTAGGGTGGGGAAAGAGCTCAGTTGAATAAGCTGAGGATTCATAAACCAGGCAGCCAGTGAAAAAGGAAACCTCTGGTATTTGATTCCACACAAAAGTTTGCTTTAAAACAGTGAAGACTGCAATATGAAGTCGTAAGCTTTGTGTCTGCCCACCTGCACCTCAAAGATAACTCCAGATCACCAAAACCCACAGCAGCCGGCTGCCAAACTTTCAGAGTGTACACAGAACACAACACCCACACCCCTCATCACTCACGTTATTAAACTCGACTTTGCCTTCTTGGGTGATTCTAAGGTTTCATTAACATGATTACCAGCAGGAGAACAACAGTCACCATTTGTTAAAGCTGTAGTTGGTTTAAAGGGATCCGTGGATTCATCAAAGTGGTAGGATCCCTTAGAGGAGAGGGGAGGGGAGTCCTGCAGTGTGGACTGGCCACCCAGGGGACTGAAACTGGGATTCTGCTTAGAAGACGCTTGGGAGAGAGAGGCATCGTCTGTAGCTTGGTCCGGGGGCGGTTCTGAATCTTTGGTGCCTACTGGCTTACTGATGCCATCTTTCTGTACCTTTGGAGGCAGTTTGTTACCCAGTTTCCTGCCAAGTTTTCTTGGAAGGCCTTTCCTGGATTCTACACTTTCTACATCTTCTATGAAATCGAACTCCAGCTTCAGAGGTGAGCTCCTTGACTCCTCCAGCAGCTCCACCCCGGAATCATTGGTGTCACTACTGGGAGTGCTGCTTGTTTCCCTAACGTCAGGCGCAGATTTCTGAGTCCTGGCATCTCCTAGCAAAGGACTTGTGTTCCCATCCATTTCATCAGGATAGGATGCCTGGGGGAGAGGCATGCCCTCCATGGAAGTTTCTGAGAACTCGCCAACTGTTTTCTTCCTCAGAGAGATGGGTTTGGGCTTTCTCAGCTTGCTTCTGCTGGGCACTGGCTCCGGACAGGAGTTCCCACTCTTCAGGTCAGCTTCTGTGGAAGCCTCCAGTGTAACCCCCATGGTGCTTTCTGTCATCGCCTTGTCCTGGATGGCTTCTGGCGGGCTGGAGGGCAGAGCCTCGCCTGAGATGGCAGTTACACAGCCATATGCTGCTTCTGTCCCAAGAGCTGCCTCTGAGTTATCCGTGGACTTGGTTGCTATTGAAAATGGCCTCACTACTGAAATTTTGCTACTATCGTGTTCGGGTTCTTCTTTGATATCCCTGATGGAGTAAGAATCAATAGCCTGCTGTGAAACCTCATTTTCTGAGGGTCTAGAATGAGTCTCAGATGAACATTTTGCGACCACTTCTGCTATCAGCTGTTCATCAACTTCTTGTGAGTCTAAAACAAAACACAAAAGCCATCTATTAAAGAATGATCTTTTTGGCATTGGTAAATATTCTCTACTTGCTGAATCCACATAGACAAGTAGGCTCTTTCCTCTTTGCATTTGTTAAGCATCTCTATGGCAGCACAACCACAAAAGGAAGAGCCGGTACTGCACCCAAAAGTGAATTTTCCATTCCCAAGCTATTACCCAAATTATACAAATAATAATTATACCAAACAGAGCTACTTAGGAAAAGGCTAGTAGATCATGGTGCACTGCAAAGCATATGATTGATGTTAAAATTCTGCAGGTTAAAATGACGGATCTGGAAGAAACTTTAGATGCTGACAGCTCAGGTACAGGGGATCTGGCACTGACAGTTCCGGGGCACTGCCTAATAGTCCCAGGTTCCAGATTTAACACAGCAAGCAGATGTTAATTTTTGGATGTTAAAGACAAGTACTTCCTCTTCCCCAGAATGGAATTTAAATAATTCAACTGTTTCAAAATTAATTCAGCCAGCTCAAAATAACTTCTCTCTAGACTGAAAACCTAAAAGAACCAAATAAAAAAAAACAAATATGAAAGAGCAGACACAGAAATGGCTTTAAAAAACAAATAGCCCTTATTTTGCTAAGACGATAAGTCATAAAATAGTAACGTCATTTTTTCTTTACAAGGGCTTTCTGAGTTGGGTCAGGAATTCTCTCAAATCACTTGTAAAAAATAAAGATTCTTTTTAATTGGGGGTCTTAGTAGGAGAATTGCTTTAATTAGGAAGGTGTAATGAAGGTATTTATTTAAAGCACAAACTAAAATCGTGCTTTCCTGACTTAAATATCTGAAATAATGATAGAGTAGCAGCAAAAACTGAATAAGCTGGTTATTATCACAGTATCTCATGACTTAAAAGGAAACTCAGAGGTGACCCACTAAACCAAATCCTAATCCTAATCCTAATCCTAATCCTAATCCTAATGCAGGATCAAAAACCTGAGCATCGCTGAAAAAGTTTTGGAAAGTACTCACACACCTTTTTACATGACTCTTTTATGACTGGGATTGGCAGTGGCTTCTGCCTGTAGCTCTAGGAAATAAAGGTTTTTACCTATTTTATCAGAAATCATGCCACCTACCAGGGTGGCATGGGGCAGGAAAACCAACATCCTCATCTGAATTCAGCCCCCGACACTGAGCAGGGGGGAAGGGAGCTCCACCAAGAAGACACCACCCTGCCTGGCATGTCTTGGCTAGCTCAAGCCAGGTGCCAGGTAAGTAAACTTGCCAGTCAGTCCTACACCTCGGCACTGCAGACCCCCCCCTTGGTCTATATCTTCAGTCACCAGCAGAAAGTACTGGTGGGGCGGGAGAAGATTGCTCATTGACTTAAACCTGTTTTGGGAATCATGAGACCATCAAGCAAGAAAACTAATTAATCACATAACTCAACAAGGTATGTCTGAGTAAGACTTTTTTAAAAATATATTTCATTGATTTTTTTACAGAGAGGAAGGGAGAGGGATAGAGAGTTAGAAACATCGATGAGAGAGAAACATCGATCAGCTGCCTCCTGCACACCCCCTACTGGGGATGTGCCCGCAACCAAGGTACATGCCCTTGACCGGAATCGAACCTGGGACTCTTCAGTCCACAGGCTGACACTCTATCCACTGAGCCAAACCGGTTAGGGCAAGATTTTTTTAATTTATGCTCTAAACAGTACATGTCCAACACCAGTTGACCCCACATCCCTAAGTGCTGCCGTAAGATAGAACCTAAACTTCAAGCATCACACCACAGGTAACTTCCACTAAGTAAAACACCCATTCTCAGTAGGCTCCAGTTCCCAAACTTCCATCAGTGAAGAGTTCTAGCCACAGCTGTCAGTCCCTGTTTCTAATCTGAAAGCACTGTTGTGTAACTAACCTACCTCTCTTCATCCTTCCATTTTTAATAAATCCTGGATTCCTTAAAATCTTCCTCCAGGGAACTGAAGAGCTCTCTCCCTGAAATGAGTTTGATGAGTCTGACAAGCACTGCACTGCCTGGTGGCTTGGTGAACACAGACAGCGATTAGATCAGTAGATGAATTCAAAGCAAACACAGAGGAAATTAAAAATAGACCACCATTTCCACTTCTGCCACGTCTGCTGCTATTAATGAAACTTCCTTTCCATAGTCAGCCTCCCATAAATCTAAAAGGTTGTGTGAATCGCCCATGGATGCTCTCAAACAGCAGATCTCTCCTATATTCATTCAGGATGTAGACTATTCTGTAAAAAGAAATGTTTCCCTTGCCCTTTATAATATTTTTAAAAGAAAAGGCATGAAATGCCAAAAACTTAAAGATTAAAGTAACACACTGGGGCGGGGGGAAGGCCAGGGGAAGGTCAATGGGGGGAAAAAGGAGACATATGTACTACTATTTGTAATACTTTAAACAATAAAATAAAATTAAAAAAAAAATTAACAGCTAGACATTCGGGTTTGCACTCCAGTATAATGAAAACATACTGCGTTAAAATACAAGCTTATGAAATACCTTGAAAGCCTTAGATTAGAAGAGGGGAAATGCCATTATCACAAATATATTTGAAACTCAGAAATGTATTCAGCTGACATATTCTGAGAACCAACTGACTAGCTGCTTTCACATGTATAATCTCATTTTAGAAGAAAGAAAACCACAACCACTTGGAAAACAATGTGTATTACTTCAGATTTGGCATTATTTTCAAGTATGCTTGACTTTTCCCCCTCAGGTTTTAACTTTTGGTGAAGCATTGTCTGCAAACTCCTTTTAGATCTATCCCTTCCTGTCCTTTAGCTACAGATGGTCCCCTGTATGAGTTTTACTTGACATGTAAAGTGAGAAAAGCTGCCAAAATTTAAACAGGCTTCCTGTATGGCACAGATACACACCCTGGCCTTTTTCTAACCTCAAAATCCACAAATAGTATCTCACATCCATGTTTAAGATACAAGGTCTGACTCTAAGGCAAAAGTCTTAAAACAAAATCTCAGAACCAATGCATGAAAATGAATGTCTTTTACAGTAATTCAAGAAGGGTTCTTAGATAAATTTTCAGAGGGTCCATGAAGACTCTGAAACTCAATGAAAAATCATGTGAGAGCATTGTCTGGTGGAGAAAATCCACAGCCTACCATTTAGGAGCCCCTGTTTTTAGGGTCCTCAAAAGGGCCCCTGTCATTGCTGTATAGTTATAACTTCAATCCCTGCCCCCAGTCACTACACTGGGATTTAAAAACTCTTAAACTACTGAGGGAGGGGGAGGGGGAAATCTCAACATCAAAGAATGAAACTTGTCACCTCTGAGAACATTCAAAAGGAATGTGTTACAAGTGCTGTTTTAAGCAATTTTAAGTGTGGACTAAATCCTTGAGAGGGAACACTCACTAAAACACAAGTTCAAATAGGTTTGTTTAAACAAAATTCAGTCACCTTACTTCCTACATGTTGACATTAAGACTGCACTAAAGGGTGGACTAAAGGGACACTAAATATCAAGTGAAAGTTGGAGGGGGTATGGTCTGGTCAGCACACTGGGTGTGGTAGGAAGTGACTTGGGCAGGCTACCCTGGAAAAGAATCAAACCCTAGGAACAAGCTTCAGAAAATAACTTCCTTTTCTGAAGGCTGGTTCAGTTTGTTGTGCAGAGTGAAGTCATAAGGTCAGGAGGCAGCCAAACTTTGACCTAAGTCTGCAGAACGTTCTCCACTCTTTATTTACATGAAGCTCTTCTCCTCTAATAACTACTGGCTATTTAAAATACATTGATTTGAAGTGGGAGCCAAATTGCTAGCCTGCCCAGTGACCCTGGCTTTGGGATGGCCCATTCAGAGGTCAGGCATTGTGAAGCCCTGTTAGACAGGCTCACACACCAGATGTGCAGGAAACACCGGAGTCATCACCACTAGACAATAAGTTGCCTCCCACAAAATCTGGTATAAAGTGAAAAACCAATGTGAAGGAAGAAAAGGGAGGAAGTCGAGCACTGACTACTGCGTAGGCATGGTGACTGAGCATTTTACAAACAAAAACTCATGCAGTCAGAATTAGAGAACACACAGGAAGAATTTCAGTTCTTAAGGACTTTACAAATTGGAGGGAGTAAGCAACCAGAGCAATCCTCCTCACCACTTCCCATGTAAAATAATACTCCTGGTGCCTTCCATTAAACTAAAATTAATAAATTCCATATGATAAAGGGTATATAAATAAGCAATTTTTAAAAAAATGGCCAAAACAAATTTTAAAAATATGCTCACTTTAAATTCATATACAATTAATAAACAGGATACCATTTTTAACCTATCAGATTTGTCAAATTAAAATATCAATGAGTGGCAAGGGGGCCAGTAGGCACTCTCATACGTTTCATGGTAAATAGCATCATGGGAATCTTTCAGGAAGTATTTAGCAGTATCTACCAAAATCCAAAATGAATTGATTCTTTAACTCATCAATTCCACTGCTATGGAATTTATTTTAAATATGCACACAAAGAGGGCTAAACACACATATGTACAAGGATGAGGATGTTCACTTAAGTGTGATATTAAAAAGTATTCACTTTTTTGTGTTATTATAAAAATCATAGGAGACTGATAGATGATTTAAGGTGCAACATTACACTGGAATATTATATGGGTGGTAACAATGAAGTAGACCTATACATGCTAATACAGGAGGATCTCAAAGACATGGTGTAGGGAAAGAGCAAAGGAAAGAACAGTGTATTAAAGGATGCATCACTATTCATTTTAAACATATAAAGACATATAAAACTGATATTCAGAGGCCCAGAATCTTTCTTAGTAAGGAGAAAAATCTCTTCTACTCAGAACTTAATCCCATTCTACCCATTTCTCTTATCTCAATTTCACCATAGGGTCCCTATTTCTAATCCCAACGTGCTCCACCTCTACTTTTTCCAAGACCATTGGTTAGGCAAAGTCTTCTTAGATATGACAGCAATAGATAATATGA